TTTCTGTTTGTTTCATTTTATTTTATTATATTTTGCGTTAGTTTTTCTATTTTAGTTTGTTTTATTTTACTTTGTTTTTATTTTATTTTATTTTATTTTATTTTATTTTATTTTAATTCACTTTATTTTATTTCATTTTGTTTTATATTAATTTATTTTATTTTATTTTATTTTATATTATTATATATTATTTCATTTTATTTTGTTATATATTATTTTATATCATTTTATTTTATTTTCTTTCATTTTATTTTGCTTTATTTTGTTTTGTTCTATTTTGTTTTTTCTGTTTGTTTAATTTTATTTTATTATATTTTGCGTTAATTTTTCTATTTTAGTTTGTTTTATTTTACTTTGCTTTTATTTTATTTTAATTCACTTTATTATATTTCATTTTGTTTTATATTAATTTATTTTATTTTATTTTATTTTATTTTATTTTTTTCTACTTATATTTCATTTTATTTTATTTTATTTTATTTTATTTTATTTTATTTTATTTTATTTTATTTCATTTTATTTCAATTCAATTTAATTTATTTTATTTTGTTTCATTTTGTTATATTTTATTATTATTATTATTATTATTATTATTTATTATGTTGAGCCTAGTTGAATCAGTACACTTGAGCACTTTTACTCTCTAGTAACTGCGAGATTTCTTCCTAACCCCTCTCTATGCCTTGACTGGATTATTGTTTATCACTTCATCAGACTAAGCAATAATTGACCTCAGGGCTGCATGCCGGGCCAAGGAGCCTGTAACCATTCTGACGGTTGATAATGAGGTGTTGTTAATTTTATATTTTTTCTTAATTTCCCAAGTTTAAGTGCAGTTAACTGGCTCTTTAGTTTTACTCGTAAATTGTAATTTATTTTAACATAAAATATTTACAGTTAAGTAAATGTGAACTTTTTAATGATTGAGTTAATTACTTTAGGTAATAAAGTTGAGGATTTTGTAATTGATCGAAATATAAGAATATCAAGAATATTTCAATAATGGAACAAAGGATTTGGAAATGTAATTACAGAAGGAATCTGGAGAACAAAGCAATTAAATACAATTCATTCAATATTAAGAATATTGTATCTTTAGAAGTTTTAGACAAAATTTAATTTATCTGTTCTTAACTAAAGAAGGTAAACATTTTCACAAAATCATGAAAAACGTCATTATGTTTTTCATTTTACTAATGATTATTTATTAGTTTATAATTTTTTGGGTGTATGCACTGCGACCTTGCGACCTTGCGACCTTATATATTATGCCCCTACTGCACTTTTCTTTAAGTCCGATTACCTCGACAAACCGTAGTAATTCGTGGAACATTTCTGTTCCTTATACTCGCCATTTTTTGTGCACTAATGCAGGACAATTAAGAAATACGTACATAGTCGAATATTTGTTAATTTCACAGAATCTACAACTAGTATTAACATGTATCTCTAGTTTCGGAAGGTGGCATTTTACTTTGTAGTGTCCTGTTACGATTCCTGTGATAATTCTTAAGCTGTTCTTAGATAGGTTTATACAGTCGTTGAATCTGTTATAGCATTGGTTTTAGACACAATTCTTTAAAAGAATTAAGTATAATTTTAATAACTATGTATCTTCTCTTTTACTCGTAGGATATACAATATATCGGAACTTCAATAGTCCTCAATCCAATTGATGCTATTTCAATCCTATTACGGTTTTTTTTTGCTGTACTCTATCTTTTCTATACGACCTTTTGTGTACTAATTGCAGTACATAATGTGTCCTAGGTAAGCTGATTTCCTTTGGCTTTCTTCTAAATAAACCATAATTTTTTTTCTTGAACTGAGGGCGGAAAAAACTAATATTCTCAGTCAGTTGACTATTGTACCTAAATCTAAAAGAAATTATAAGAATTCAAAACAGAATCACTTATCATAAGTCTAATTTTACAGTTTAGTTTTGTTGAATGACATCATAACTCAATAATCTTAATCTAGTTCTGGCAAATGCTATACAATAACAGATAAAGTATTCTGTGTTATCCACATCCACCTGTGTGGTGTCCTATAATGTCTGCGATTCGTATGCTGTGGTTCTTTGTTATTTTTCCTTATAGTCAGGTTATTTCACAAAACGTTTTGTTGCTGCTCAAGTTTTGAGGACAGAGAACATAAAATCCTTAACCACATGCAGAAAATTGTTTGGGTTAAGATACTTTTTAGTGATTGATTCATATTTTAATGATTTCTAATTTGTTCAAGCTGGAAGTTTTTAACATCTAAGATTATATTCTATAGAATAAAATTGATTAAAAATAGCATCTCTCAGATCGTAGCTTTTGTTTTAAGGGAAACTCTTGGTTAATTTGTATCTTGCTATATTGCAGACTTACTCATCCGATCGTCTCTATTTTGCACTTCATTTTATAAAAATAAATAAAGATTGAATAATTATGAAAGTATATTAAAGATATTAAAAATTTTTATTTTATTACTCTGATAAAATACCAAAGTGTTATATGAAAATTTAACTGCTATTGAACTTTTGTTATTTAACACAAGTGTCGGATAGTTTACAGATTTGCTGATATATTGTTGGTAATTTAATTGTTCATACCTTTCAAGTACCTTTCCTTATTGATGAATATTATTTATTATTTCAATTGTAATTGAATACGAGTACTTATATGTCACTTTGCAGCATTCACTCGTTGAAATTGATTCGAGTTGATTTATTGTTGATGTACATTTCGATATAAAATGAAAATAGCCAGGCCCGCGCTAACATTGCCGTGTCTGTGCAGCCAGCAAAGGCTTGTCAAAATGATTTGCGGCAATATTGTTTATCAACATTTGTTAACATTGATTTGCAACAAAAAGTTCAAAAAAAATTTAGATACATAAA